CGTATGTATGTACCCTATAACAACATTAGCAAAAAATGTAATCTTTGTCTTTATGAAAAGTTCATCATCATTTGTAAAAAAGAGCTCATGCCCCCACAGAAACAGATATATGTACTTCAGAACTCTAGAGTAACATAACTAAGACACAATCCATCTGTTACCTAGATACAATCTCTTAACACATCCCTATAACAACCACCCAAATTTTACTGCCACCTTTTAATTTTAACGGTCAATCGTTGAAGTTGCCTGATGAGTGTGGTTCTACAATTTTGGACCATACGAAACAGCACTGTCACAATAAACGATCAATGATTACTCCTGAAGCCTGAACTCCTGTGATTATGAATATGTATGTATGTATGTATTTTGAGATGGGTCTTCGCTTCTGGGTCTTAGGTCTTCGTTTTCTACCCACCCCAAAAGAAATCATTACAGGCTCTCTCTCTCTCTTCCTTTTTCCTGCCACCTCCCCCTTTTTCCAACACCACGCGCTTATATTTTTACATGCCTTACAGTCTACTATCTGAGAGCCTGGAACAGGCTAAGATTTAATTGACGACTGCATTGCCATGACGGCAAAGAAACCTGCTAAAAAGTGTGCTGCACGTTAAGAGTCTTTTTTTCGTTTATTTTCTCGTTTCTGTCGTTGCTATGGTTGCACTGAGCTCACTAGTGGCGTTAACGTGCCAAACAATTCCTGATATGCGACGATTTCGCCTGCATGGAAGCGCGACGAAATCAGAGGCTCAAATAGTACTCTCTGTATATAATAATTTAAAATAATTCGTTCGCTTAATTTGTAGCTTTCAAGGACTTAATTATACAGCAGTTTTCTAGTCTTCGTAGATTTTCTTGTAAGGTTTTATCTTTCTTGCGTCCGAGACGAATAGGCAAATTTAAGATGGTGGACCGCCCTTGAAATACACCTACAGAAACCAAACGTTATCAGTAACTAGAAGAAACTTACCTGAAACCGAAAAGACGTGAAATTCGAAGAAACAGAACTAAGGGTTCTTTTGTACTGTTTAAGACCACTTCGCGGATCACAACTGCCTATTTGTACAATGTCAACTTGTAGCTACAAAGCTCGACAGTTCAGAGCTGGGCGGTAGTCCAGGAAGGTACTTCATGTATGGGGGGTATGGGGGGGACATAAGACCGCTGACAGACCTACCGCAGTCGTTCAAGTCTTGGAAGGTTTGGTGAAAAGTATTTAACGTCTATATAACGAAGAAGGAGCACCTTTTTCAACGCCTAAAGTCTTCTGCTGACCAAAAAAAGAAGACTCAAGTCTTAAATGTGGATCTTGGAGGACCAACGGAATGGTAAGTTTTAAGAATTGAGTATTTCTTTAGGGGTACAGAGTAAAAAGAAAATACTTAAGTACATTGTATGGAATTCTTTTGGGGTGAAGCCTTAATTTTCACGAAATAGACCACAGGCTACCCAAACTCACGTTACGAGGGAAGGGTGTAAAGTAATTTACATACCATAGATGACATGCCGGTGTCACGTTTTACAGGCGACCGTTGAAAATAGTACAGACTTTGTATGAGAAATATATTACTGAGATTTGCGAACACTAAATAACGCTAAACCTTACTAAACCTTACCTTGTTAAATGAAATGAATAAAAAAGCCTTACCTGCAATGTACTCCACTGTGTTTTGATTATGCAATAAAGCCAAAAAAGCCAGTAATATGACAAACAGACATCATAACACAGTGGAGTACATTGCAGGTAAGTCTTTTTTATTCATTTCATTTAACAAAAAGTAAGGTTTAGCGTTATTTAGCGTTCGCAAATCTCAGTAATATATTTCTTATACAAAGTCTCTTATGTTTGCAACAGTTGCCTGTAATGTGACACCTGCACATCATCTATGGTATGTAAATTACTTTACACCCTTCCCTCATAACGTGAGTTTGGACCACCTGTGGGTAGACCAATATTCTTCAGTGAAGACAAAAAAAACAAATCTTGTTGTGGTGGTGCATTTTGATGAAAGAAACATTTTACACGGCAGGTCTGAAATACAGGTCACATTTCCACAGGTCAGGGTACAGGTCACCACGATTGAGATAAATGAACAGCATTAAAACTGTCTCCTAGCCCTAATCTCTTAACAAAATGCTCTATTAGATCGAGGGGAATCTGTGTGGTTTGGTAATTTATCGATGGAGCAGTGACCTACACTCTTGACCTGTGGAATGTGATCTGTAGTTTAGACCCGGCAATTGCGTACCGTTCAAACATGAGGTTTGTAACCTTTAGCTGGGCCCAGGGGCAAGGGATGGTCACTGGCTGAGGATTGACTGAGAAATAGAGCTGCGTGCAATAAAAAATCCAATGAAATTAGAGGTTCTAGAGAGCTCCGCACTATCCAGTGGTATTTAAGCCAAGTATTGTAACACCGCAGATTAGCAGTATTCACATGGCTCTTATTCGAACTAGCTGTCATTTAATTTTTGGCTCAATGTGTTTTCATTACCAAAGAAAAGGTCAGTGGAAAGGCTACACCGCCTTGTAAAAAAAAAACAAAACAGTAGTTTCTCTAGCAACCTTTGTGGCTTGCCAGGTGTTAGGAAAGGCTGGTCAACTGTTTATTTTCAAAGTAGGATGGCTCACCCCATGGGTAGCTGAAAATTAAACAATCACCACTCATGGGCTTTGTTCATTTGCAAATTTTTACATTGTTACTTTGAAAGGTGTCTCTTATGGGCCACAGAAATGACACTGATAAAGAAATTTTCTAACCGGCTAAAAAGACTTCAGGCATTGTTAGCAATATTAATAATAATTATTATTATTGTAAGTAAACAGCAGTATGCATGTTGTTCAATTTCAACAGTCATTTATTAATATTATTTAACTTCTGTATAATAACAACTGGACAGCTGGCAGCTGGTAGCCTGCAGACACAGACATATTTCTGGTCGTCGCTTTTCTGTGGAGAGTGGTGTAGAGATTGCCAAGACCGGAAATTGCCTGTGTCCTCAGGCTAGTAGCTGGTAGCTGGAGGGGCTCCCCATATAAGATGACAGGGTTGACCTTTATTTTGGTACATTTCAAGGTGTATGTATTAACCAGGAAATAATGAGAACAACAACTTCCCTGATTTTCTCCGGTCACTCTTATATGGGTATTCCCCCTACAATGCTGAAAACAAGTAATGAATTTAAGTTTAACCAAAGGGAGTGTGAATTATTCATGTGAGCCAAAGTGGTCTTTCAACATGATGCAGGTCAGAAATATTTAATTGTGGAAAATAGGGGGGTGAGCATAGCTAATAATCAACACTCTCTTGGCAAAATATAAGCAGCCAGCTCAGTAGAACCAGAAACTATACGCTTAAACGTTAAAATCTGCCGTCAAATATTGAAATTCTTCACTTTATTAAACGGTCAGAAAAAGTACAGTAAAACCAGTGTCTAAGAACCTGCCTTTTAAGAACATTACCCTGGACAAGTTCTTTTATAAATGTCAATCAGCAATAATTTAGGCTATTTAGGTTCTTAAATAAGTTCTTATTTTCTGACCTAAAAAACTGCATTTGAGCTATAAGGGCTTTTAGTGGTATTTATCTTATAATATTCCTAGACATAAAATCTGCACCAATACATTGCAGTTGGAGTGATTATAAAGGCACCTTTGTCTTCAATTCAAAGAGGATCCTGAATGTTAAGTTATCTTATTTGCCCAATTTTACAGTATTTTTGTATAGATCATTAGAAAACAAGAACGTGTTTCAAATTTTTAGGCTATAAAGGTTGTTGTATAGAGGTCCGTTGCCTAACTTGCAATTTTAGCCCAACAGGTTCTTAAAAACCAGGTTCTTAGTCACAGGTTGTTCCTGTAATAATATTTTGATCAGAAACAACAATGTTAGAATACTGATTGGTGTGTGAGTCAACAAGAAATAACATCCAATAAAATTAAAATGTGTTAATATCAATTTCTCACCACAATAGAACCCTCAGTCTCAAGGAAAAGCTAATAAATTAGTATATACTGTGTCAATGCATTATTAAGAGACTTGTGTTGTATAATAGCAATACAAAATAAAATCAAATGTGAAGTATTTGAAAAAGAGTCTGGGAACATGGTACAGACTCCAGCTATTGTTTCTCTAACTTAATTTCTGCATGCATAATGTCTGCGTGTAATTCCTAAAAAAGCTCACCTATACATGCACACCTCAACAACAAAACAAACATTACCTTTAAGAGAGAAACAAACAACAGAAATATTTCATCAAAAATCAAATTAATCATTAACATATTGCTAAAGAAAGGATTAATATTATGATAAAACTTAGCAAGACAATCTTAAGCTTTACATTAACTACCCTGATCCATGGAGAAACTCCACGTCAATAATTCAACATTAATAATGCAAGCCATCTAACGAATTAGTAACACTTGTAAAAAATATGAACATTTAAAAAAATATCCTGGTTGTTCAACAATCCAAAGTAGTTATAAATACAAATTTACAAAAAAAAACTTTAGCTTGTCTCATTGGTGTCTGAATCAACTTGTCATCCTGACTAACCAACTCAAAGGGGGTGAATAGTGGAGTGAAATATAAGACAGTAAGTCCTTGCCTCTATTAGTAAATAATAACAATATGTATATGTTAAAGGCCAAACTTAGAATTATTCAGGTTCTTGATACGCCACATTAAATAGAAACAGTAAAATGTTTTCTAAAATATACAGATGACTGTCATTCTGACTATATAACTTTTTAACTAATCCAATCGTTATTTTTAGTCAGTATCTCAATCATAAACCTTTTCACAGGTGTATATAACCACATGAAAAGTTTTTACTGGAAAAAAAAACGATCTGTTTTGTTGGTCATGAACTTCCCAGGATCTAAATTTAATCTATTGCTCATTCTTGCCACCATCAGCTAGTTGTTTAATGTCAATGTCATTTTTTTGAGATTTCCCCAATGGCATTTCCCTCTAAATTTGACTGATGTTTTCCCCAATCATCCATTAGTGCCAATTTAAGCCCAGTACATTGTTTTCTCAGGCAGTCCACTAGTGCCAATATTTTGCTGACTTTAGCTAGCACCAGGGTTGACTCGTGGAGTCCATAATATTCCCTGTGTACTCTGACATCATGTCCCATGTGTCTTGCCAGCCAATCTAACTCTTTTTCTTGGAGGTCTAACACTTGGGAAACCGTCGCAACATACTTTCTAAGGTGGGTACTTGTTATCAAATCAGGTTCTTTTAATTTAAGCCCAGTACATTGTTTTCTCAGGCAGTCCCAGTGGCAAATGTGATTCAATGAGTCTTCAGACGGGCGGGCAAAGAAAAACGTTTTGTTTGTATTGATGTTGGCCTCTTGTCTTTTCTTGACTAAGATGTCCATTGCTCCTTTAATATCAGGCGTTAACAGCACTGAGACCTTATGTCCCCTTTTGCTTTCTATGTCAACCATGTCCACCACACATATATAGCATATTACATAATTGCACAATTTTAATAATGTCTCTCTTTAAAAAAGTAGCAAACATGAAGGTGGCCTTTTGTTTTGAAGTATTTAGTTAATATACAGGCCATGCTTAACAAAAGTAACTTAAATGGTTGTATGTGGCCCTGACTGAGTTGAGAGCAGTGCATATTCAAACTAACAAGGCAGGTGATCTGTTTAATAATGAGATTATTTTCAAGGCTAATTTAATTTTGAACAGCTACCCTTGATGCCTGCAACTATTTGTGAGGGTGGTCTTTAAGTTATGCAAAACAAAATGTTTTGCTCAAGGAAAAAGTCTTACTATAACAGCAAACTTAAACAAATAATATATGCAGACTGGAGAAAACTTTTAGTCAGTGTGATAATTTTCCCTTAGCAAAATTAGTTTTAAATAAAAAAAGCTAAGGTTACTTATAGTAATTCAAGGGGGAAAATAGTTGTTTTGTACTGGTACATTAAGTGCTGTTCTTTTGTTATGTTTCTGGTCTAGCGTCTGGTGATAGATTTGGAAGTGTATCTTATATCACGGTGCATGTATTCCAAGATGTCTGCAATTTTTTTGTGTGTGTATTGATAGTGAAATGACGGAGTGTGTTATTACATGTACTTTATACCTCTTATACAGTTCGTTCTCAATTGGCTCTAGACAATCTTCAATTCCCAGTCCTTTTGTTGCTGTTTTCTTCCAGTCTGGCCTTTCTACAAATGAACTCAACAGCATCTTTGAAACTTCACCGCCTCGTCGTTTATTGAATGTTATCACCCGACAAAGGGTTGTTTCAGCTAACTCACTCCAATTCTGTATTGTTGGTGCAGCTTTTAAGGTCTCTGTACAAGTGACAATCTTTTGAAGGAGATGCTTTCTCAACACCTCCAAGTCTTCTGTAACTGGAAGCAGATCTGGCTTGTTAAATTTCCTCTTGTAGAGTGTTCCTAGTGAGTGATATGAAATGGTATCACTCCATTCAGATCCCATAAGCTTTTCGAGATTGTCCATGTCTGGTAGCAGCACCTGGTCTTTTTCTCTCAAAGCCTTACCTCTTTGGATGGTGATGCACTTATTTATGGCATGGCCTAACTTCAGTGCAAGGGATGGTATTCCGACTGACTGTGCTGATGATTCCTCAAAGTTGCAAAGAGTCTTAACTGAAGCCACAATGTGGTCAAAATACTCTGGCTTTAGAAAGTCTTTGAGGTGAATCCCCTTGGAGTTGTTGGTTCTGAGCTGTATCAGCAGCCTTGAAAGCTGTCGAATCCCTTGTGACACCACTTGAAGGTTGTCTTGCCCATGTCTCTCTGCAATGATGCTACCATACTTGCAGATGAGATCATCATTTCTTGCAGCAATAATTGTCACCTCATCGGATTTCATTTTTGCTAGGGCCACTTTTAGGCACTGACTTTGTGCTTGATGTCCTATCTTAGGATACAGCTTGGGACAGTTAAAACAGGAATCTTTTTTGTCATAAACCCAGTTTTTGTAGTTTTCTTTCCCTGTTACGTGTAGTATTGTTTTCTAATAATTAATGCTTTCTGTTCACCGAATGGCTTTCGAGAAATAACTTGTAATGTTAACCTCTTTTGCCAGGCATATTTTCTACTTGTTGTTTGATCACTGTTTGCCTTGGCGATCGTAGGTTTAACATTGTAGAGTTAACCTCCTATGCCAGGCATAATAATGAATGTAGTGTAGTTGAAAAGTGACATGGATTTGTTTGTTGTAAGCTGCCAAATCCCTTGGGACTATTAAGGTGGAGGTTTATTTTTACATTTTTTGTGGTATTAAATAAGTGCAGGCATCAATGCTAGCTGTGAATTCAGCATCTATTTGTGAGGGTTGTCTTTAAGTTGTGCAAAAAAAAATGTTTTGCTCAAGGAAAAAGTCTTACTATAACAGAACACTTAAACAAATAATATATGCAAACTGGAGAAAACGTTTAGTCGGTGTGATGATTTTTCCTGAGCGAAATTAGTTTTTAAATCAGAAAAAAAGTTACTTATATAATTACTTAATATATGAGTAGTTCAACGGTGAAAATATTTTTTTGGGACTGGTAGATAAAGTGCCTTTCTTTTGTTATCCTTCCAATGTAGTCATCATACCTAGAGAATTTATAATTAGCTTTTGTCCTTAAACAGTGGCTTCAGAGTTTTCACCCCAATCCACTAATTCTCAAAATTTTTCATACTTTTGCCATCTCCAGGGTCATTTTATGGAGTTTACAAATTGTTCTCTGTGCACTAGCATAATATCATGTCTCATGTGTCTCACTAGCCAATTAATCTATAACTTGGGAAACTGTGGCAACAAACACACTGTACTTTCAAAATCAAAGCTGACAATCTTCAATTCCTTTTGTTGCTGTTTTCTTCCAGTCTGGCCTTTCTACAAATGAACTCAACAGCATCTTTGAAACTTCACCGCCTCGTCGTTTATTGAATGTTATCACCCGATAAAGGGTTGTTTCAGCTAACTCACTCCAATTCTGTATTGTTGGTGCAGCTTTTAAGGTCTCTGTACAAGTGACAATCTTTTGAAGGAGATGCTTTCTCAACACCTCCAAGTCTTCTGTAACTGGAAGCAGATCTGGCTTGTTAAATTTCCTCTTGTAGAGTGTTCCTAGTGAGTGATATGAAATGGTATCACTCCATTCAGATCCCATAAGCTTTTCGAGATTGTCCATGTCTTGTAGCAGCACCTGGTCTTTTTCTCTCAAAGCCTTACCTCTTTGGATGGTGATGCACTTATTTATGGCATGGCCTAACTTCAGTACAAGGGATGGTATTCCGACTGACTTTGCTGATGATTCCTCAAAGTTGCAAAGGGTCTTAACTGAAGCCACAATGTGGTCAAAATACTCTGGCTTTAGAAAGTCTTTGAGGTGAATCCCCATAGAGTTGTTGGTTCTGAGCTGTATCAGCAGCCTTGAAAGGTGCCGAATCCCTTGTGACACCAGTTGAAGGTTGTCTTGCCCATGTCTCTCTGCAATGATGCTACCATACTTGCAGATGAGATCATCATTTCTTGCAGCAATAATATTGTTACCTTATCTGATTTCATTTTTGCTAGGGCAACTTTTAGGCACTGACTTTGTGCTTAATGTCCTATCTTAGGATACAGCTTGGGACAGTTAAAACGGGAATCCTTTTTGTCATAAACCCAGTTTTTGTGGTTGTTTTTCCCCTTATATGTGTAGTATTGTTTTCTAATAATAATATTAATGCTTTCTGTTCGCCGAATGGCTTTCGAGAAATAACTTGTAATGTTAACCTCTTTTGCCAGGCATATTTTCTACTTGTTGTTTTATCACTGTTTGCCTTGGTGATCAAAGGTTTAACATTGTAGAGTTAACCTCCTATGCCAGGCATAATAATAAATGCAGTGTAGTTAAAAAAGTGTCATGGATTTGTTTGTTCTAAGCTGCCAAACCTCTTGTAATCAGTTTTTTTTGTTCTTTTTTTTTGTTATAATGGAAGCTGAATTCACTTCTTGCCTTGTTGCCTGCAACAATTTGCGAGGGTTGTCTTTAAGCCATACAAAAAAATGTTTTGCTCAAGGAAAAAGTCTTACTATAACAGAACACTTAAACAAATAATATATGCAAACTGGAGAAAAAGTTTAGTCGGTGTGATAATTTTTCCTCAGCGGAATTAGTTTTTAAATCAGAAAAAAGGTTACTTATATAATTACTTATATAAGTAGTTCAGTGGTGAAAATAGTTCGTTTTGGACTGGTACATAAAGTGCTGTTCTTTTGTTGTGTTTTTGTATAGTTAGTGTGCCTGGTAAAAGATGACTGTTTTGTTGGTCATGAATTTCCCTCTAAATTTGCTCTTTCTTGCCACCCAGAACGTCAATGTCATTTAGAGATTTCCCAATGGCTTGACTGATGTTTTCGTCATCCATTAGTGCCAATTTAAGCCCAGTACATTGTTTTCTCAGGCAGTCCACTAGTGCCAATATTTTGCTGACTTTAGTTAGCTCCAGGGTTGACTCGTGGAGTCTATAATATTCCCTGTGTACTCTGACATCGTGTCCCATGTGTCTTGCCAGCCAATCTAACTCTTTTTCTTGGAGGTCTAACACTTGGGAAACCGTCGCAACATACTTTCTTAGGTGGGTTCTTGTTATCAAATCAGGTTCTTTTAATTTAAGCCCAGTACATTGTTTTCTCAGGCAGTCCCAGTGGCGAATGTGATTCAATGAGTCTTCAGACGGGCGGGCAAAGAAAAACTTGTTGTTTGTATTGATGTTGGCCTCTTGTCTTTTCTTGACTAAGATGTCCATTGCTCCTTTAATATCAGGCGTTAACAGCACTGAGACCTTATGTCCCCTTTTGCTTTCTATGTCAACCATGTCCACCACACATATATAGCATATTACATAATTGCACAATTTTAATAATGTCTCTCTTTAAAAAAGTAGCAAACATGAAGGTGGCCTTTTGTTTTGAAGTATTTAGTTAATATACAGGCCATGCTTAACAAAAGTAACTTAAATGGTTGTATGTGGCTCTGACTGAGTTGAGAGCAGTGCATATTCAAACTAACAAGGCAGGTGATCTGTTTAATAATGAGAATATTTTCAAGGCTAATTTAATTTTGGAATTCACAGCTACCTTTGATGCCTGCAACTGTTTGCGAGGGTGGTCTTTAAGTTATGCCAAAAAAATGTTTTGCTCAAGGAAAAAGTCTTACTATAACAGCAAACTTAAACAAATGATATATTCAAACTGGAGAAAACTTTTAGTCAGTGTGATAATTTTCCCTCAGCAAAATTAGTTTTAAATAAAAAAAGCTAAGGTTACTTATAGTAATTCAAGGGCGAAAATAGTTGTTTTGTACTGGTACATAAAGCGCTGTTCTTTTGTTATGTTTCTGGCCTAGCGTCTGGTGATAGATTTGGAAGTGTATCTTATATCACAGTGCATGTATTCCAAGATGTCTGCAATTTTTTTGTGTGTGTATTGATAGTGAAATGACTGAATGTGTTATTACATGTACTTTATACCTCTTACACAGTTCCTTCTCAATTGGCTCTAGACAATCTTCAATTCCTTTTGTTGCTGTTTTCTTCCAGTCTGGCCTTTCTACAAATGAACTCAACAGCGTCTTTGAAGCTTCACCACCTCGTCGTTTATTGAGTGTTATCACCCGACAAATGGTTGTTTCAGCTAACTCACTCCAATTCTGTATTGTTGGTGCAGCGTTTAAGGTCTCTGTACAAGTGACAATTTTTTGAAGGAGATGCTTTCTCGACACCTCCAAGTCTTCTGTAACTGGAAGCAGATCTGGCTTGTTAAATTTCCTCTTGTAGAGTGTTCCTAGTAAGTGATATGAAATGCTATCATTCCATTAAGATCCCATAAGCTTTTCGAGATTGTCCATGTCTTGTAGCAGCACCTGGTCTTTTTCTCTCAAAGCCTTACCTCTTTGGATGGTGATGCACTTATTTATGGCATGGCCTAACTTCAGTGCAAGGAATGTTATTCTGACTGACTTTGCTGATGATTCCTGAAAGTTGCAAAGGGTCTTAACTGAAGCCACAATGTGGTCAAAATACTCTGGCTTTAGAAAGTCTTTGAGGTGAATCCCCATGGAGTTGTTGGTTCTGAGCAGTATCAGCAGCCTTGAAAGCTGTCGAATCCCTTGTGACACCAGGTGAAGGTTGTCTTGCCCATGTCTTTCTGCAATAATGCTTCCATACTTGCAGATGAGATCATCATTTCTTTCAGCAATAATTGTCACCTTATCTGATTTCATTTTTGCTAAGGCAACTTTTGGGCATTTAATTTGTGCTTGATGTCCTATCTTAGGATACAGCTTGGGACAGTTAAAACAGGAATCCTTTTTGTCATAAACCCAGTTTTTGTAGTTGTTTTTCCCCTTATATGGGTAGTATTGTTTTCTAATAATTAATGCTTTCTCTCGCCGAATGGCTTTCGAGAAATAACTTGTAATGTTAACCTCTTTTGCCAGGCATATTTTCTACTTGTTGTTTGATCACTGTTTGCCTTGGCGATCGTAGGTTTAACATTGTAGAGTTAACCTCCTATGCCAGGCATAATAATAAATGCAGTGTAGTTAAAAAAGTGTCATGGATTTGTTTGTTCTAAGCTGCCAAACCTCTTGTAATCAGTTGTTTTTTTGTTCTTTTGTTGTCGTATAATGGAAGCTGAATTCACTTCTTGCCTTGTTGCCTGTAACAATTTGCGAGGGTTGTCTTTAAGCCATACAAAAAATGTTTTGCTCAAGGAAAAAGTCATAGGAAACTTAAACAAATAATGTATAGAAACTGGTGCATACTTAAAGTCAGCGAGACAATTTTCCTTAAGTGGGTTTACTGTTTAAATCTGAATAAGGGTTACCCATAAAAAATAAGTAGTTTAAGGATGAATATATAATAGCACCTTGAATCCTTTTGTTATGTTTCTAAAATGTCTTCTTCAGTAAATAGTCAGAGGATTTAGCTTTGGTCCTTAAACTTTGTCAGATATTTGAACCTGTGGTCTGCTTTTGCTGCACATGCAGCCGTGTATTGAAAATGAAAAATGTTCTTGTTTTTTATAATGTTACTAGAAATGTAATTCACTTTGTTCCATCTTTTCTTAAGGAAACAAAATGGCATTTTTTTTTTAAACTTTATCACCCAGACTAGTTATTTATCGAGGGTGATCACCTGCCTATTTAAGCTCTTTGTTTGCTAACTCACCCCAATTCTGTATAGTTGGTGTGACTAGAAGGTCTGTTTTGTTGAATTTCCCTCTAAATTTGCTCCAGATCTCTCCACCCTGAATGTCTATGTCATTCAGAGACTTCCCCACTACATTGTTTTTTAACACAGTCCCAGTTGCAGATAAGGTGTGTGGTTATATAAGTTTCCACAAGGGCAGACTAAGAAAAACAGTTGTTCAATAATATTGTTATCATTATTGTTAATTTGGTCGGCATCGATGTTGAGCTAATTCTCCTTTTGTTGTCAAGGAGTTTCATTCCTTCTGCAATATCTGGAAACCTTTGCCTTTTGCCCTTTGCCTTTTGCCTTTTGCCTTCTATCTCAACCATGTCCACCGCACATACATAATTGTATAATTACTTCCTTAATTATATATGTCTCTCTTAAAAAAATTAGCAATTAAGATTAATTTGGCCTTTTTTAAGCGTTCAGTTAGTACACAGTTACTGGCCATTCTTATTAAAATATATATTTTTTCAGGTTCTTGAATGGTTTTATGTGCCAGGTTGAGGGCAGTGCGTACTTATGGTAGGCGATTTGTTTAATGAGTTATTTAAGGCTTTTGATTTTGCAATGTTCGGATAAATAAACAGAATTTTGCAGTCCATGGAGTGTTTTAAAGTAGTCAGTCATATGAATCTTTTGAAAATGAAATTCTTGGAAATAGAAAGGACACGACCAACATAATATTTTGTTTGAATATATATAGGTATCTGCTACATAAGATAGCAACCCATCCTTGATAATTTCAACTGATCAAACCTCCTTATATGGATTTCTGAACCACTGCAAGTAACACTAGTGTTATTAAATTTCTCAGTATTATAACTGGTGTATTGTATTTAGCTTGTCTTGCATGTTGAAGTGAATATTGTAGTTAAACAGTGTCAATCAATATTGCCGATCCAGCGAAGGATATTCACGCGCAAAGTTATTTAGATTATTTCAGTTGAACGTGTGAACTTTTCAAAAATGCAAAAATGCTCACGCATGCGCACTCCGAGATTGTCTAGGCGTCTCCCGGCCGTTCGTCTCGGATACGTCACCGAAATGCATTGCCCGAGAGGGACTAGGCAAAGTAACACACAACTGTGACGTCAAAACTACCTCTACGTGCTCTCACGTGTGGACGCATTTTGGAGAAAAACGGAGATATTGCTGTTTGTCACTCTTGTTACTCTGAGCAGTGCTATTTGCAACTGAAATGAAAATAGAGGGTTGTGTCTCACCCAACCGGCAACCACCAACATCGCCCGGCAAAGAGTTAGTAGACCCACCCATCCCCTTCCCACGCACACACCCTGAGCATGCTGTCACTGGCAAATTTCAACCGCGGCAGGATTAGCGCACTCGGTAGAGCGCTTGACTGCAGAGCGGGAGGTCGCGGGTTCGATTCTCGTCATTCCCGGTACCGGACCAGTGCTCAGGGTCTTAAAAATAACTGAGAAATGAAGGTATTGCCTTTGCCTTGCAAATGGCTGAACCTTCGCGTGGCTCGGATGACCCGAGAAAAGAAAAAATACATCTATTACGGACATGCCTACGCGTGAAGAATCTCCTGAGAACGTGTGCGTAGGAGGCTAGCCCGTACAGACTTGACACTTAGCGCAGTTCTGATAGCCCATCAGGCAATGTTTAATGTGTCATAAATGCGCTAAACAATCAGTATACGTACGGTGAGTAACGCAAATGCTTAAAACATCGGAAGCTAAGAGCGTCCGATTGTCGCACGCGATTGATTTAACCATGCGCTCCAAAAAATTGGGTCGCGCAGGTACCACGCCAAGAAGTTCTGATTTTGCTACCATGTTGGTGTCGTTAATAAAATCTTCTTTGCTGCAAAAATAAGGAAAATGAATAACTGGAGAGAGAATCTGGGAACGAGGTTGCCCTGGTCCCAGAGGTTTAAAATTTTTCTTCGCCTCGCGACTAGTTGTCGCTGCTTCGCTGCTCGCTCTCTCTTTCGCGAAGAAAGAAAGATTTCAAGAAAAACCTCTGGGACCAGGGTAATGAGGTCAAGGCTCAGGAGGGCAATTTCATACAACTCACTTTATTTTGTCCACCCAAGTCTCGAATTGATTCCTTTTTTTTGCAGGAATGCGGAAGAAGGTATGAGGGAGCCTCACCAAACACCCTCACCCAAATGCCAACGAAAGCTGGAGCGAGATCAGAGAGATTAAAGACCTTTAACACAGTTTGCAGTTGCGCGTTTGCAGTTTCATGTTGCAGGGATTTCCAATTTTAGCAAGGCTTTCATTGTTTAGTACCCAGTGCTCAACACTAACGCTAGCCATTAGCCCAGGACTAGTGAAAATTCACGCTGGGCTAGTAAACGTGTGCTCCAACTAGCCCCTTGACCAGTAGTTTACTGTGAACAAAATAAATTTTCTAGAACTCGTTAACTTAGCCTGAGTAGTTCTTTTTCTAAAGCGCTTTATCAGTAGTTAGTTTTTTAGCTTGAGTATCAAATGTAAACCAAAGGACTCGCTGTTCATTTAGTGGAGGTATCGTAGGAATTGACTAGCCTACGTGTAGCCCGAATTTGTGCCTCTGTTAATGGATAAAGACTTGCTCCACAAGATTTTTTGTATCATTACGTGGGATGAAACAAGAATTATACGCCAAAAGCTTTCAGGCAAATGTCATACGTGAAAACCTATCTTCCCACGTTGAAAACACACGTCGTAAACCTCAAACGTGACACGAAAGACTTGTCACGTGACCTCCAGCGGTTAGAGGTTCGCGGTAAACTCTTATCTAAAACCCTCTATTCACTTTATTTCGCCAAGTGATCGGGAGAAATGCTTCATAAGACACTGAAGTTTGCACCTTTTAATCCCAATGTTAATAAAGGTAAGAAAGATTAATAAAGATACCACCTACGACATGTTTTAGTGTCGTCTTTGCGTTTTTGTGGCGTTTTCAGCGCCCGTGGAGCAGTTTTTAAAGTGCGGGGGCCGATCCACCTCTTTTGAAATGAAGTTGGGGGTGGGGGTTAGGGGATTGTGGACTTTAAAAATGGTTTACCTGGTGGTTACTCAATATTTTTTAATACAGTTACAACTCATCAATCATTTGTTTTAATAGTTCAACAAACGAGGAAGGAGTTAGTAACAACAAGTTGTAACCGCACAGCAGCATCATAATTTTCGCGTGTTTCATTTACTTCAAAAGTTTGTCCGTTCTCTTCTTGCGGCTGTTTAGAACTTTTCTTTATTCATTGTCACGGAATGGAGCCATGTTTCAGATGTTTTTAACCTTTGAGCTGTCGAAATTGACCTTTTCCTGCTGCGATGGTTGCGGATTTACCAGCAGAAGCTTGCAGATCGGGACAATAGGACAATTGCACGATGACGATATTTGACTAAAACTACCAGAATTCATTTCGTTGTTGCTTTGTTATTTAAATTTGTCAATCCCGCTGAGGATAAAAGAACAATAGCCTTGATTTGCACAAGAAAACAACAAACTCAAGGATTCTGGTAGTTGTAGTAAAATGACGTCATCGTGCACCTGTCCTATTTCATTTATCATGCTCTGTAATATCTTGATATTAAAAAGTGAAAACATGGAACGGTTATCCAGAAATTTTTAGCTTTCCTCAAGCTTTCGAAATTAAAACAGTCGGTGGGTGCCCCTGAGTCAGTGTAAAGATAGTCGTATTGAGGATCACCATGTGATATAGGATCGAAACGGACCAATCATAAATTTGGATGCTTCGGCGAGGCCTGCCGGTCGAATATTCTTATTCTATCAAAGATTCCTTTTATTTGAAAATTTGTATTTTTTTTTTTTTCTTTTTTTTTTCCAAAATGTCGGGGGGCCCTGGCCCTCCCTCTCCGCCGGCCCTGTTTGAGTCGCTTAATTTGGGTCTGAAAACGGGTATAGTCTTGGTCTGATATCGGGTATGGTTTTCGAGGGAACTACGGGAGCGTATGAACGTATTTATCGTTTCAATCCCAAATGAGTAAGAAAAATAACCTGTGTACAGACGCCCCCTCCCGTCAAAAAGAAATCTCTTCCCCGACTTTTTTCTGAGGGGAGGGGGGCGTCTGTACACATGCTATAAGAAATATATGAATTCGAAATCAATTTTAAGAAATCATAAGTCTGAAAACTGGTATGGATTTTAAGAGCCCCGGGCCCAGTTGTTCGAAGGCTGATTAGCGCTTAACCCGGGTTTCATTTTATTGTGTTCAAAAGCATTTTCTCGGATAATTTTCTCTGTTATTTTTGAAGCTTCCAATAACCAACTTGTAAACAAAAAGAATTAAAACTGAAATTATTCTTGAGCTTTCATATCTGAACTTAAATCTCGCACAAACCCTGGGTTATCTTAACCCAGCTTTGGACCACTCGGCCCAGGTCTGAAAACCGGTGTGAAAAATGACATTTTTTGGTCTGAAATAGGGTCAGGATTTGGAGAACTGGGCGGCAGTACCCTTACCAAAACTTATCAGGAGTCCCCCCTGGAAATACGTCTGCGGTTCGTAGGCTAGGCTTTAGCCTGTTTCAGGCATTCAGATGGTGGGGAGCGGGCAAAAATTGACGTGGAAAAAAAATGGGGCGGAAAAAGGGAGGGAACTCTTGTTTCTAACAAGACTCTATCACCGCCGACCGCGTAACGGAAACATGAACTACACTTCGACTGGAATGTGGTTTTACTTGTCAATAACAACAACAACAGTTTATAAAACTGAAAAATAAACGATAAAAGCGAAGTAAATTGACACTTTCCTGATGGCAATTTCTTTCATTTCTTTGTTCATGTTCGCTCTCGTCTCGATGGCCGGTTGTTCTTCCACCATATGCTAAAATTTCGTGACACGATGTGTTGCCAACGTGACGTCTTTGTTGTGACGTATACGTCATACTGACGCGAGCGGTGAAACAGAGAATAAAACACATGCAGCGCTATGTTTGAAAAACAAGTAATTTGATAATAAATTTCTCAGCGCCCTGCTGGACACAGAGCTTATAAATATAAGAACAGAGAAATGGGGCAGTGCTGAAATTAGAGGGGATCAGTTCCTAATCGATTCCAAGATGTCAGCTTATAATTGTCTTCAGATGAAGGTAAGATATTTGACGACGTTCATGTAAAGCAAAAGCCCTTCTTTATTAAATATTTAATAGGGACAGAAGTTGAGCGCTTTTGACCGAAACGTCTGGTTTTGACTTCTTTAAGTTTTTGCTATCATCTATTTTTCGCATGGATTGAAGCTACAATTCGACCGAGCTAGACTTGCGTTACTGAAACGTTCGCTTGTTTACAGCATTATGCTTAATTTGCTTTAACAACAAAGGATAGTTGTATCATTTAAGTTGGAGTGGGTTACTGGTGCCTCATTGTAAACGAGTTTCACATCATTGCATTTGTTAGTGATCGAAATAGCTGCTGGTCCCCAGAATGCGCTGATTGTGTACTGCTTGATCGATACTCATTTGATTGAAACCCCAGTAAAAGTAACGTCTCCGCAACGCTGTCTTAGCTTTTAGTGATGACGGCGAGACCTTTTTTCGTACGAGAATGTCATGGTAAAATAAGGTTGACGGTAAAAGTTAGTAGGAGTTGTAAAATTCACCACTGGTTACATTTTTATTTGTCGGGGACGTGAACACTTATATAGAACAGTTGAATTTTTTTTATTGATAGCGTGCAGTTCCTGTCATTATTTTTGGAAGCTCAAGTTTTTTAGGACTTAAAATGATATTCGTTTTAGCGCATTTTAACGAGCAAGAAATAGTTCTTTCGTCAAGGAATGGATCTGACTGTTCAACTGGATGATTAATTAATTATTCATAAAGATCAAAAACATGAATGAATGTATGAGTCCGAGTTTAATAAGAAGTCCAGTCGCTCGAGTTCGATCTGTTGTTTTTGATCTGAAACATAGCGGTTAGCCATCAACTATTATAGAGAACCTTACAGATAGTTATTGTATTAAGTCATTATATCACATCATTGCAAGTGATCGAATATTTGTGAATATAGCTAATACGT